GGTAGAGCCTGTGCATACGTCATCTAGTCTGTCGAAAGGCATCTTTTGCTCTATGTAGCCTCCAGCACTCCGCGAACCAGGCCGGCCTCCCAAAGTGCCGGCCCTAGTCCATCACCACCCACCCATGGAGAAATCGGAATCAAGATCAGATGAGCACCAAAGATAACTAGTTCTCACGCCGATGTCAAAGACGTATCAAACTGGAATTTGGCATGCAGATTATGGGAGAAAACGCCAGTAAAATGGCAAACGCGATAGATTGAAATGCAACGCAGACACATGTAAAACGAGATCCCATCAACACCAGACCAACTAGTCACGCGGAAAAACGGAAACGAGAAAGGCGCAGAGTATGGGGAAAGGTTATATGGTTACGCAGGTTCAAACAGGGGAGCGAAAGTCCTTCCCACTCTAAACACCGTCTCATAGATTCCACTCACGGGGTATGCCAAGAGGATCGAGTCGAGATATATTAGGCGTATGTCATCTGTCATCATCGTCGTCTCCGTATGCCATAACTCATCGCACCCGTGGCGCTTTCATTCATGCCACGACAAACTTCCCCCCGGCCCTTGCGGCACCATGTTTTGTGATGTTTTTATAGTATTAGATCCAGCATCCCATTCCAGACACAGACGAACTCAACATCCGAATCAAATTTCGTTATCACATCGGAGAACGACACTGGAAAAATTGGCTCGCTGCAGCGATGATCCCGATGCAGGGGTATGAAAATAGTCCTATCAGCACACCGTTCAACTCCTTAGGCAGTCGTGGTGTTGTTCCGGGCAGCCTGGGCCTCGGCCGCCCGCACGGGGGCGAAGTATGGATGAGCCATGGCCTCCTGGGCAGTAAGGCGTTCCTGGAAATCGTCAGCAGGTTGATCGTCCTCGAATAGAGGGATATTTCATACAGCATGGTCATAGCGGAGTAATTTGTCCAAAAAGTCAATCGCTTCATCGCTGACGAAGCGCTGGTTCTCAGCATTTACAAACGAGGGCCAAGGCTTCCGGGGAAAGCGAGAAAGGATCTCATCATATTGAGGGTCCAGCTCAATCTCATATTTGTCCAGGTACTCGAACAGCTCCTCGGTACCAAGCACCTTGGCGATCTTCACCAACTGGTCGGAGTTGCTGTTACCGTGGAAGAAGGGCTCCTTGCGGAAGATCATGGAAGCAAACATAGCTCCCAGGGACCACATGTCCAGAGAGTAGTCGTATTCTTGGAAATCAACAAGAAGCTCGGGACCCTTGAAGTAACGGGAAGCGACGCGAACGTTGTATTCCGTGCCCTTGTGGTAAAACTCGGCAAGACCCCAGTCGATAAGGCGGAGCTATCCATGTCAGCATAATGCCGGAGGATCTTTGAGCGGAGACCTACCTTGCGCTTCTCATGATCAATCATGACATTGTGAGGCTTCACATCGCGGTGCATGATACCCTTGCTGTGGCAGAAATCCAAGGCCTTTAGAAGCTCGAAAATATAGAAACGGACATCATAGTCGGAGAACCGCGGGTAGAGGGTCCGGAAATCCGTGTTGTTGACATATTCAAACACCAAGCTTGGCGTCTTGCTCTGACTGTCGCGAACCACGTCCAACAAGGCGACCACATTGGGGCCACCCGCCAGGTTCTGAAGGATCTTGATTTCACGCTTGATCTTCTTCTTCTTGACCGGCTTGAGTACCTTGATGACGCATTTCTGGTAGTTGACAACGTTGATGCCCTCGAACACTTCGGAGTACTTTCCGCGGCCTGTTCCAGATGGTGGTTAGCACAAAACGTACACAATTCATTCGCCGTGCGGCCGGACGACGGTTTTGGTGTATCTGCGGGTAGATGACGGCCGGTCGTATTGGCCTTACCGATCTTGCGGACCACCTCGTAATTCTCCAAAACACCCCAGGAGATGTTCACACTGTCATAGTCCCAGTAGGACCGGGGCATATGTTCGTTAACATCGGCATAGACGCGCGCCATGTTGATGGCGGCTGGCAGGCAGATCCGGAGTCAGCCCACAATGAAACGTATATCGATGATAAAAAGCGGCGGGGTAGGAAGGGCGGCGAGCGAAGAGGCGTCGTCGCGAGGGGAGAATTGCGATGGAGGGGACAGACAACAGCAGCTGCGAGGCCAGGTATGGTGGGGGCCTATGTCAAGAAGGCAGCCGTGCTATCGTCCGAAGCCAGCGATTAAGGGGAGGGAGGAGGGAAGAGATGAGGGTCGAGTATAGACTGTCTTTGGGGATGGAGATCAGAATGGGCTTAGGCTAGTAAGAGCGTTTCGCTCCGCCTTTGCAGTCACGGGACTCCCGTTCGTTGAAGGCTAGATCACCTGCCGGCCCGGAATAACCTGCATTCCCGGCCGATTTCTCGATTGCCGTTCTCGGACAGTTCTTTTGCACGCGGTCGCTATCCTTTCGCTTCTGCTGCCCGTTTCCAACGTACTCTCGGCGCGCATTCGAGCTTTTTAAGCTCGTCGCAAACTGCCAACATCATGTTCTATGATCTCAATCTGCCCTATGCCTCGGATGATTCCGAGATCTCCAATACCTTAAGTTTTCTTGCAGAACGTGCGTCATGTTTCTCCCCTCGGCACAAGACCCGATCATCGAACAGTCCCTCCCCCTCCACGGCCACATGAAGCGCTGACCTGACGACCAGTTGGTTACACCACGGTTGCCCTATCCCAATCTATTACTGGAAAACTCCCCTCAAATACTACTCCCCCACCAGCGCCAAAGAATGTTCCCAAGGGCCTGACGCTCCTCACTCGCCTGAACCTGACCCTCTCCGACCCTGCGCAGAACCAGCGACTTGCCAGCCTGACTCAGGTTTATGATCTCGTCGCAATAAGGCCCACCAATGAAAAGGCGCTCCTAAATGCATGCACCAACCTCGAGTGTGATATCATCTCGCTGGATTTCTCCATACGACTGCCCTTCCACTTCAAGTTCAAGATGGTTTCCGCTGCTATATCACGTGGGGTTCGATTTGAGATCTGCTATGGACCAGGAATCACCGGGAGCGGACTTGACGCTCGCCGCAACCTAATTGGGAATGCGATGTCGTTGATACGAGCCACGCGCGGCCGGGGAATCATCATTTCGAGCGAGGCGCAGCGAGCTCTGGCTGTTCGGGCACCCTGGGATGTGATCAACCTGGCATGCGTTTGGGGTCTTTCGCAGGAGCGTGGCAAAGAGGCGATCTGCGAGGAGGCCCGGAAGGTGACCGCCTTGGCCAAGCTGAAGCGGACCAGTTGGCGAGGAATCATTGATATCGTGGCAGGGGGAGTGACTAAGACGAAAGCGAACGTACCGTTTCAGAAAAAGTCCCAGGAGGCCACGGGCGATAACTTGAAGAGAAAAGCATCGGTGGGGTCAGAGCCAACGGGCGAAGAGGCGGAGAAACCGCTGTCCAAGCGCGAAATGAAGCGCCGGGCCAAGAAGGCTCGGTTGGAGTCTGCCGGAGCTTGAGCGAGTTCAGCTGAGGGAACCTTATGTGCTACAGCGGAGCAAGGGCGCGCTTGTCGATTGCCCAGGTTGCTCGCGGATCCACATTCCTCGCCTATCGTCTGCAGGCTGACTCTAGGGGCCTTGTGCCGGTCAGGCCGTCAGCTTGCTGGTGCGACTGACAGTATACTTATGACGAAATGAACCAACCCAAGAGAGCTGCAAGAGCCCAGGACCTCTATATCACCGAAGTTACTTGGGTTTCTGACAGGAACAGACTCCTGACATCTGGCATCACGACAGCGCTTGAATCACCAGAGTGCACTTGTATGCTCGATGATTCAATACCGGTGTGATTAGCCGCAGCTAGCCTTACCATTAGACTTTAGGCATATTAAAGTCGCCCATGTAACGAATCAACGCTAATCAATGACAAATTACCGCATCCGTGAATATACCTAGCGTCATCCTTTTGGACAGTACTAGTAGTTAGGAAGTCACTATGACATCCATGTACTTTTATACCAGTACAACTAATTCGAGCATCTGTAGCCATAGACCAGTACTAATATATATCTTCATCCTGATATCAGGTAATAATCAATAGTGAGAATATACACTAACGGGCAACCGAACCGGGCTTCTTTTCGCTGCTTGAGTCTATCTAATTACTAACTTACTCTTGTGACTTCTAACTGATACTGCATGCCAATTACTAGTTACTACCGCTCAGTAAATACCACCACTACTAACTATACTACTGGGATATAGCACAGATTGAGTAGCTATTACTGCTAGTCACCACTATTTGAAGACTACCTGTTCTACACTCGAAAAATAAAGGGATGTCCAGGAAAAGGAAAGGTACTCCTTCTTCCATTACGCAACTACTATACACTTCTTGAGCAGCAACTAACCAGCACTTAGTAACTATTGAGCTTTCTTCTAGGCAATACAATATGAACGAACAGGTCCCGTAAGTGCTTAGCACATAATAATTATTTTAGTTTGCTATTAAAGTTGATTGTGACTATATTTTTTTCCTGGAAGGCAATATATACTTGCTAGTAATTTACCACCACTACTACATCAGGGATCAACTACTTGACCTAACAATAAGCAGGCAAAAGACGATAATAAATCAATATCTTACACATTCATATTTTCATTAGTTACCTTTCAATAAACTCATCCACCATCCCCTTAACATCCAGTCCAGCTCAGTACGTAACCCAACCTAAGAAATCATATACACAGACAAGCATACATCCATCCAACCAACCATTCCCGTCCCCTACCAACCATATCTCAACAGGATTAGAATTGAAAAGTCTCATATCTCATCATCACATGCAATGCATATCATCAATGCAAGGACCACCAGCACCAGGGTATGATAATGAACTCAAAAGCAAGATGGACAATAGCCTTTGTCTCCGAAAAACTCCACGCAAACCCAACTCAACCAAAGCAGATCAAAGCAACCTAGAATCGACAACCATGACACACAAGTTATATCGCAGAAAATGATTCAATGAGCGCCAATTCCGTCAAGATGCCGACGCAGTCCCGTCTAATTCAACCAGAACTCGTAGGTCGCCATCCATCCAGTCCACATTGCTGGCTGACACGAGGGCCATTGCCCACTCGTTGTCGTTTTGCACCGGGGCCAGTCCATCTGGGAGCCAGACCTTGAATTTCCAGTTAAGTTGAGAGACCCAGTCCATGTTAGTCTCGGAAGAGAGGCCTGGCAGTTGGCCGGCGAATTTGCGGGAGATGAGCTGCTTGAGGGTTTCAAGATCGGTGCACTGGCTTCCCGGGATGTCGAAGCGGGGATGCGCGCGTTTTCCGTCTTGGAGAATGTTAATTCGGAGTGAGACGTTGGTTGGAGGAGACGGAGAAGAGCCGACATTTCCAGAGACGGCGCTGGGAAGAGGTGGGAAATTAGGAGGAGGGAATGGCTGCGGCTGGGGCACGGGTGCCTGGCTGTGGGGTGATTGATGGACATTGTGCTGGGTCGCCAGGCTGTCTCGGATGATCCGCGAGATATCACGGGTGATGCTACTAGCACTACGGGGTTGTTAGTATAGTACACAATGTGCTAACCGTTATGGTGGGAACGTACAATTCATTTCGGGCAGGCCGGTCTGAGTTCCCGCCAACACGCCAACGCAGGTCCGAGGTGACATCTGCATTCAGGATGCGATGGAGGTTCTCATCCTCACATGGCGACGGACAGTCATAACCGCCGTTGTGAATGACCTGAAAGTGGCTATCAATGGCAGCGACCAGTCCACGCCAATCCGGTTGCTGGAGACCCGAGATGTACCACAGGTTGTCAAGCTCATAATTATGATTGTACATGTCATATGACTTTGAGAACGAATCCCAGTCAGTCGAGTACCCATCCAGCAAGAGATCCGTGAGACCCAGATCCACCTGAGACCCGGTCCCGAGCTGCGGTTGTGGTGCCGACAACCCGGTCTGTGCAGAAGTATAGTCGTCCGGAATATGGTGGTGTGAATGCATGTGGAGTTGATCATCTGTCGGTGTGGTCGCGTTCAGATTCTGCAGACTGTCCTCTGTCTTGCGTCTCCGTCGCTCTTCGGTGCCGCCCCCTTTTCTAGTCTCCACTGCATACTGCCGCTGGCGCTCGTTGGTGACCATTCGGCGCAGCAAAGGAATAACCAAGGAGATGATCTTCTGCTGGTCTCGGGGCCAGATGTATGTCCTGGGTCCCATGCCCTCGTTGACAACATTCTCGCCGAAGAAGCGCTCACCATGGCCTTCGACCTCAAGAAACTGGCGCACGCAGTTCCACAACCGCAATTTAACCATCTCCGTGTCTCCCTTTCCACGCTGACCAACACAGTCGCGCCGCTCCGGGTGGCGAACATCCAGCATATATGCCTTAGCCGCCGCCTGCAGATGCAAAAAGTTCTCCGGCGAGAGCTCCAGCGACGCAAACAACTTCGACATCGGCGGACGGGTGTACTTCTTGTTACTCGACGGTTGGCGGAACAAGGCAGCGGCGGAATGCAAACCCACAGCGCGAGCTTCGGAGAGTGACTGCGACGGCGCGACACCCAGACCCTCCCCGCCATAGTGATGCGCATGCTGGTGATGCTGCTGCTGCTGCTGCTGTTGCTGGTGAGGGTGGTGAGTGCCTGCAAGGCCGACAGCAGCTCCCGCAGTCAACGCCGGATCCAGCGCATCCTCATTTCTCTTCCGTTTCTTCGTTGGCACCCTGGTCAGTCCACCGGAAGGCTGGCCATGTTCACTCATAGAGGCAGACCCCGGTCCGCGCATGTGCCGCTGCGGTCCCATTCCAGCACCAAAACTTGCATCTGCAAAGCTATCCTCATCGATGTGGGTATCCGGACCATATTCGAGGTGATGCTGGAGTCCCGCAGCCCCCGCCGCAGCAGCGACAGCGGCGGCAGCAGCCCAGTCGGAGACCTCCTGACCGGCAGCAGCAGTGGCGGCCTCCACCAATCCAGCTAGTTGATTCTCACTGGGCGCATATCCGCTATTTGCGAGGTGGTTATTAGGGTCGACATTAGCGGAGGTGGTCGGGTTGGTCGAGAACTCGGCAGCCGAAGTGGACGGAGGATGTTGATGGTTTGAGTTGGAAGTCGATGCCATTTCAGTTCGAGTCGCGTGAACGCGTGAATCAAACAGTCACTCAAAGGTACGTAAGCAGAGCGATATTAGGGAAGTCACGCAGATAATAGAATTATAACACAGAAGTGCGGCGCGGCGAAGCCGTCACAACTCCAGACAGTTAGAAGCTTGATTAGTTGACCGTATGTGGTAACCAAGCTTCAAAGCCCAATTAACAGAACCTGAACGTAAGGTAGACACTCTGAAACACCGAGTCGTCAGCTCGTAGTTCGTGGACCGTGATTTGGAGCGTCCGTCGCGTGCGGGTGAGCGTCGACGGTGCTTGTTGACAGTGCGCCAAACAACGCAGCTTCTAGAAAGGACACCCGGTGCTCCCGGGCAGGGAGGGAAACACGGCCGCCTACGGCGAGCGGGGCGCGTGAGTGAATAGCAGATCAGCAGCTGTCAACAAGAGACAAGAAGGTCTCGCGCAAAAAGGCGAGGAGGGCGATATAGTTTGTATAGATGGAACTGTTTAACCCGATGACGCTGTTTGGCTGGTTTGAAGGAGGAGCAGACAGTGCAAACTCTGCAGGGAAGACGCCGTTGCACATTGCCCAAACCAGTTAGCTGTGGTGGATCCGGGCCACGTGATATGCGCCAGTATCATCAGGCATTCACATCACTGTCCACACTGACAGTGAAGGCAGTCAGCCAACTTATAGCATGATTACTACATAAGATGTGCGGTTTATGATAGTTATATAAATGGTTTTCATTATTCAATTTGGAGCCTGCCAAACTAGTCCTAGCTGCAATGGATATCACAAGATCTGGCACAATCCCCAGCACATCATCCAAATATCGCAAGCCAAGAAAACATCCATATCAAACACAATGGAATCAAAAATCATATCTATACCAGGCATCGCAGCAAGCCACCTGAGCCCCAGACAAGTCAAATATGAACACAAGAAGATGAAGATGATGGTATATAGTCCCTCGCGGCGAAGAACCGAGAGGTCATGAGATGTCGGGGTCCGAACAAAGAAAGTCAAGAAAGACAATGATCGTCAATAAGTCCTAAGCACTCTCAATGGAGAATACTTAGAATCCATCGCCCTCCTTCCAGGGTCTCCCGACTTCGCGGGCGCGTGCTTCGGGGTCCTTGCCACGTTCCGTAGCATTTACCACCAGTTCATTGATGAGCAGCTCCTCCATGTCGATCAGATCTGCGAGCGTCAGGTCCTCGCCTGGCTGCGGGAAACTCAGGTGGCTTTCCTCGCCCAGCTTCCCGCTCATGCGGGTCAGCTCGATCATGTCGGCCCGAACGTTCCATCCTTTGAATTGCTCCTCGAGCTCAGACTTCTTCGCATGGTGGCCTCGGAATGCATCGTACTCCTCCTCGCCGCCAAAGCAGATGCCGAATCCGTCGCAGAAACAAATGTGCTCCTTGATGCAGTAAACGTTCTCTCCGGTGAAAACGACATGCCATAAGTATTCCCAAATTCGACCGGAGATGTAGTCGCTGAGCTCTGTCCGGAGCATCCAGTCGCGGAAATATACGAAGCGAGCTCTCGGAATGGCATGAATACGGTCGCGCGATACGGCGAACTGAGCGCAGCAGGGTTGGGCCAGAACTTCCGGGATCGGATCGTCGGGGAAGATCTCACCCCAGGCTCTGGCCAGCATAACCTCCTCTTGCTTTGTTTGGTCCTCCACCAAGGTTCCCGGATGCAACCAAGCAGGACAACCGGGACTCCACGTGCATCGCAGATTTACGTAGCCCTGGCGGACCACCCAGGCGGGGTTCAAACGGCGCAGGAGATCAGCTGAATCTCCGGCAAAGAGGTCATCATTGTGCCAAGCGAACTGATGCGAATGCATGAAAGCGACCACATCAGGAAGCATGTTATAATGTTCGATGATGTAGCTCAGGTAGACCATCACTTCATGACCCTTATTCTTCGGAGGATGCAGAGGTGCTGACGGGTCATCGACGGCATAAATTGCTGTTTGCCACTCAGGAAGCTCAACCTCCATCCAACTGGTATCTTCATCGGAAGTCTTGGGCACCACGAGCGTCTTCGTGTACGTTGTCCCAGAGGGCTTGGGGAGGCCAGGGACGAAGTGTGGCTTGGGTGCATACGGCGTCCGAATCGCTGGCTCTTCGTGCACCCTGGTAACATTGAAGCGTATTGACGGCGATGGAGAGGGGGTCGTAGCCAGTTCACCCAAACCGACGACCTGCGTCGCTTGTTCCCATTGTGACGAGAGGCTTCGGATGGCGAGGAGGATGAAAAGGATGAAGGCAAAGCCAAACAGGGGCACAGCCCGGCGCGAGGAAATCATGGAAGATATCGTGATATGTTAACCGGGAAAGGAGACACAATAAAGATAGATGAACTGCGATTGGACGAAAGCGCTCGATCAGCAACTGCGCGAATGCGATGAGGGTTTGTATTTGAGATAGTATGGAGCCAGGCAAAAGAGTTGCTCGCAAAGACTAGCAGCATCTAGGCCTAGCAACAAAAGTAGGGGCAATTCACCCACCTTGATATCCAAACGCTACAGAAGACACAAAGAAGCCATGGAAGAGTAGGAATTGGAGATATTGCAACAGTCGGGAACAGTTGTCAAATCCCCGCGAAACTCCAAGAACCGAAGGGCGAGATGCGCGGCCACAGCCGGTCGAAGGTTCCACGAGCCAAAGAGAGAGGGGCAGGGAGGAACGAGGACCGTTCGTAGGGCGAATTCATGCGACTGGGGACTAGACAAGAAGAACAGATTGGTCGGACAAGCCAGCTAGAAGGAGGCATACGCAAAAAGATGGCGCAGAAGCGGGTGGGAGACGCGGGCGGCGGCGGAGCTGGCGTCAGCGCTGATGACGACGATCTTGGTCCCTGTCGAATGAGCCCGATTTCCTCGAATTCAGTATAAAGACCAGATGGAGAGGTTCAGATGTGATCCAGCACCGGAAATCCAGCCTTTTCTTTTTCTCCTGTAGGGTTACCGGCCACCGGGACTGGCTGGTACTCTTCAAATTGCTTTTGCATCCCGGAGAAATTCACGCTTGTTCCCCACGGGCGCAGGTTGGATGTTGGCCCGCAATTTATGATTGGAGGCTGGCTGTCGCTGCCCCTGGATCGCATTTTGCCCCCCCGAGACATTTTTTGTGATCGATCTGATGCACGGTGCTTATAGTCTGTATGTTTAGATAACTCGAAGAAACGTAGATGGAGTCTAGTACGGAGTCGAATCTTAGCTAGAGTTCTGACAGACGCTATGTTAAGTTGCACCTACTAACTATAGTAACTATGGAGGAACCCCTTGGCATTTCAGATCCGCCCTTTTCCCAGCCAAGGTGGGTACGACAACCCTTCTTCATGCAATCCTGTCTACCTTAATCCGTAATAGTCTACAATGAACTGAAATCAAAACCAAGGAATTGCCACGATCATGTTTCTAGTATGTACAGATATACACCTGGTTGGTAGTGACCCTCCTGATTCGCTGGACAAGGGGCTAATGTGGCAGCAAAGAGTAGAATAAAACCGGGACTGGTGTAGTAGGGGAAAATGACCATGCATGAGCCACAGTTCCATGGAATTTAACATACAGGCAATGGGGTATGAGTGAGAGCCGCTTCAAAAACGCCGGTAAAATGGACAACTTCCCCATAAGATGGGGTCAACCCCAAATGAGATGGTAATACATCAAGCCAAGATAGAGACACCAGGTATGGAAAGGCAAAGACGAAAATGGGGGAGAAGAATTTCGCAGAGAGGAGAAAGAGTCAAGGAAACCCATCATCACGTTTCATCGTCAACTACATCTTCCACCGTTGCTACCCGTGCTTTCCCCTTTGAGGCCGAGTCTGATTCCTCGGCGTGATTCGCGCCGTCAATGTCGTCGGCGGTAGTGCTCTCACCGTCCATCTGAGTCTCGGGCGCTAAATCTGTCCACTGTTGGGAGAGTGATTCCACGCCCGATCCCGTGGCTGTTGACGTTGCTCCTGACTGCCAATTGGGCAGCTGGGACGTGGAGGGCTCGGTGGCCGCCGCAGGCTCACTTTCTTGACTGGCGGCCGGAACAGTTGCTGTCGGGGGAGGGACCTGGGAGTCTGATGTAGGGTCAGACGTTTGGGCTGTTCCGGTTTCAGGAACAGTAGGGCTGGCGCGTTGTTCTGCCGGCTGACTGGGGCCCTGCTCCGGGGAGTGAAGGGGGATGAGAGACCATCCCGCGGGGAGACTCAGTCCCTCGGGAAGTCGGCTATCTCCAGCATTCATGGCGGGTGTCTGTGGGTCCGAGATGAACTGACGGCGCATGGTAACCGAAGAAGTCGAGGACGAGACAGCCGGAGGGTTCTGAAATGCGATACTTTGGGGGACAGTAGGATTGGCCTGGAGATTGCGAAGTCGCTGGAGTTCCGTCTGCAGTAACCGCACCAGATGAAGCTGGTCGGCCGTGACACGCAGCGTTTCAATTTCCTGGACAATCTGTTGCTCCATCTGCTGCAACTGAGTCTGCATGTTGGCCACGTTTGAAGGAGGGTTGGGGGCAGCCTGCGGCGCTGGGATCGGGAGAGGCCGTCCGAATCCAAAGCCGAAGCCAATTTGCCTGGCATTCGGAGCATTGACGTTGTTAGCTTGTGGCACAGGCGCATTGCCTTGATGGATCTGCTGGTGAAGGTTGTGGAAGAGGTCACCCCTGCCCGCACCGAAACCGATTCTGAAAGGCCCGAATTGGTAAACACGCGCTCTCGGTAGTCCATCTGGTTGCCCATCTCTGGCTTGGTTGCCAGCGGCCATGTTCTGAGCACCAGCATTGTTCTGGTTACCACCATCGCCCGCCCCCCGGGCCCGGGGTGGCGCAATAACTGGGCGCCGACAGGTGGGGCAGTTCTGCTGTCTCTCAAGCCAGCTTCGAAGACAGGCAAAGTGTAGAATGTGACCACAAGGCAGTTTCTTGGGGCGTAACCTCTCAGAGACCCGGTTTCGCTGTTGTGCGCCCGCCGGCTGGTGCCAATGGGTCATTTCTTCGCGACAAATGATACAAACCTCCTCGCGTGCGACTTCCTCGGCGGTGGCATCGGGATAGCGTTCGTTCATGTCGCGAGTAGCGTTGCGGTAACGCACGAAGTCCATGATGCGCCGTCCGAAAGACCGAATAGTGACGACAACGTCGCGCAGAATATGTAATGGGAGACCGTAGAATGTGAACAGGATCGCGAAAAAGGTGAGATATACTGTGAGCTTGAGGAAATCGGTAAGCAGGTCGAGATAGAAGATCCAGCGGCCCTTTTCTTCCCACCCAGGTACATCCAATTCCATCTCGTCGATATCGTTCTCATCCGGCAGGTTGGGAGTGGCCCCGGTCTCTCCCGACTCGGCATACTGGCGCAGCGACTCCTCCCTAGCATCTCTGATTTCGCGACGGCGCTCCTCAATCTTAGCCTTCATTTGGAGATGGGTGATGTAGATCTCGACCAATGAAATGACGTAGCGGGCAGCAGTCGAGCTGGAGAGGATGGTGAGAACGGCGAATTCGAAGCCAAACATGACCATCATATCGGGCCGTGCCTGTTCAAGAACGGTGCGAACGCAGTATCTCAGCATAAGCGAGTTGAAGAGAACTGAAAGGAGCAGCGAGGCTGCAAGTCTGATGTGGAACAATCGCGGATTTGCTGGGGGTTGTTGTTCAAGAAACTCGACCCGACCCTCGCCGATCCAACCCCAGACCTTTCCAACGAGCAAGGAGACGAACATGACCAGGAACCAACCGCCCAACTCTCCTCTGAAAATCGTCATCGCCAAGCATGTCTCTGTTACGGCAAACCATGCTTTCTCGTAAAGCTGTTCCGTTTCTATAGGTCGAAGAGGTCCGTAGAGGAGACGCTGAAGCCAGAATAGAAAGAAGCCAACCGCTAGCAGGCTAATGTTCATCAAAATCTAATCAATAATATGTTAGCTAATTCATAAAAGAGGAGTGAGACGTCCAATGTTGGGAGCGCCGAGGGAGCGCCTGTTGAAACCCGGGGCGGGGAAAGCTTACCATGAGATTTGCACTGCTCTGCGAGAGGTATACGCATGCAGCATAGAAGTTTGCTCTCTGATGCAGCGCTTTTAAGAAGACGCCAGTTGCCAGGGCAGCTGAGGCCTATGAAGACAAGTTAGACTGGATCTACAACAAGGAGCAACCTGAGGGCGACATACCCCAGCATACACGGCCAATCTCATGGCGACGGGGAGAGGAGGGTGGGCGCAATGCCCGCTTTCATGAACAAGGGCGTAGCAGCTGGGCTGGTGAACTCTCTAAAAGATCATTGATGGGGAGGTTGAGAAGAAGAGGGTAAGCAGTAATCACAAAGAGGGAAAGAAGATGAGGAAGATCGCGTGGAGAAAATAGCCAGGATGGGGGGGAATGGATGGATGAATGAATGGATGGAGATGTTCTGGACAGCTAATCTACTACTCGGTATCGCCCGGTACCTGGTACTGCGTAATGTTACCAATCCTGGAGTCACCGCCTTGGCAGCTGACTGTCCATTACTTCTTTCGGCGTTTGGTCTTCATTCTTGTCCATGCCTGGATAATTGGAATATTAATCAATCTACAGTTATGAAAAAGGAGTTGATGGGATCTTTCTAGATGCAGGTCACGAGATCACATACAGACTTATGTGTACTAGGGAAAGTCTGAAGCTTCTGGAAGCTTATTGTTACTTTGCTTATTGACGTGTTACTCGTCTTCCTCTCCACTTGATCAGGTGACGGAGAGCTGGCCGGCATCCGGTGTGATAGACAGCCCCGTCATCGGTCACCGATTATCAGCTTCGATGGACGAAAAGTCCAGATCATATCAATCAGACAGTATAAATAAAGTGTTGGACGGGCTCTGGATAAAGCTCAAACAGCTCGACAGAACCGCTCCATTAGTTTGGACATCCATTCAAGCCGGAATGAGCTAAGGTTCCCTCTCCCCTGTCTAGACTATTCTCACCATGGCTTCTCCACGGACACTATTCACGGCCAGCCGCGTGCAAACATGGACTTACCTGCTTGGCGTGTGTCCATTCTCGATTGCATTCCTGGTCTTCATCAACTCGTCCATCTCATTTGTCGTCACGGACTTAATCGGACTCCGTGACGGAGAAGGTGATGCGGTCGGAACCTTGGGCTTTGCCGACGAACTGCTTGCCCTGGTCGCCTGCCCCTTGTGGGGAGTGCTGTCGGATCGCATCGGCGTCCGTCATGTAAGCGCTCACCCCGTTGCTATTTTACCCCCAAGCCAGTTCACTTGTTGTAAACCTTCTCATACATTGTGTCTATTACACAGGTCTGCACTACCGGC